TGGTATAACTTTAGATTGGAAACAAAACTAGAACAGTACTTTTCTATAAAAATTAATCCAAAATACGAAAAAAAAATCTGTTCGCTGAAACAGATGGTGATCGCCAGAGAAAAACTTGAAATTTGTTGTTTGAGCATTTTTGCAGGTAGAAACTGGCAGCCCAGCTGATTGCTTCCGAATATGCAAATATTTCCGAATCGTCATCCGAAATGAGAATTTGTGGGTAACAAATTATCGAACAATCTAAAAAAGCTCTAGGTAACAGTTGGAATTGAAAACGCTAAAATTAGTTTTTTTTCTGCATTGAGAATTTCTTTTTTAAATCTGTACTTCATTAAACTTTGTTCTTTGTAAATAAAAAACGTTTAAATCTGTACTTCACGTGCGACCGACCGTCCGTCGTGTTTTTTCAAGATAGCCGTCGGACTGAGCATACGCGCCCATGTGATATTGTTCATATAAACTCATGGTTATTAATTATTGTTAAAAGCTGGAAAACATCCCACAAAAGCGAAATAAAGAGAATAAGACTGAAAATAAAAGAAGGAAAATAGGGTACTTTTTCGTACTTTAAATTGTTCTATATGGTAATTATTCCCAGGTTTAATCTAGCCGTTAAAATAACCTAGAAAGCGTAAAAAAGAAAAACTAAACAAAAAATGGTTAAATTACATACTCATATTTAGATAATTAAGAGATTTTATAATTAATGAATAATTATTAAGCAGTGGAGAAAGAAAAGTGCATTTAGAAAAGTGACTTGTGTTTAAGCTCTCACATTTTCTTTCTAAGACTGCAAATGATTTTATTTAAATAAAAAACTAAAAATTTCTCAATATACAGGGTGCTACAAACATAGGTGCTACATAACATGATTAAATTGGGGCGAAGTTGTGCCTTGGGATGCTCGCCAACATTCTATCAAAAAAGTTTCAAAACTTTGAAGGATTGCTGAGTTTTTTGAAAATGACTGATTTTTTGGAAAATTAATTTTATTTTTTCCTATCAATAACTGGAATAACTGGAAAATTCCTCGCTGCTAGGAATTCAGATGGTAGCTCTGCTGTAATAATGTCAATTTGCCACATTTATTTATTTATCTCCTGACGTTGTCATTCGTTTTGTCACTTTTTTTTGTATTACAAGTTTTTGGTTTAAATTAATTGTGTTGTGATATTTTAGGCTAAAAATGTTTGCTAGCAAAACTACTTTTTAGAACCTCTTTGCGAAGTGTACAAGATAGCTTAATAGCCGTAAAAAATTCATCGCAACTTTATTAGAATATTTTGAACGGGAAAGTGGTAGTAATGGCCCTTTATGCCCCTTAAGTGCTTAAGAGGGTGAGTTTTGTTGATGTAAATAATAGAGATCACTGTTTATACAGGGTGTCCCAGAAATAAATGCAAATAAGTCTAAGGGGTGGTAGATCTCGATAAAAGAAACATATTTTCTCTTTATCGTTTTTCAAATAAGTCAAAAATAACGGAGTTATTTTACTTTGAAAATTTAAAAAAAAAATGACTTTTTGCTCAAATTTTGAGAACCACTCTTTCTTGTAAATTTAATCTACTACCTATGTTGCCATATTATCAAGAAATTATGTTTTTTAACTAAAAAATAAGAAAAAAATCCAAAAAAAAATTCAAAAAATTCCGAATTGTCAAAAAAAAAATTTGCCGAAAAAAACTCACAGGCGTATTTCTGGGGTTGGACCAGTTAAAACATTTGCAATTATTTCTGGGAGACCTTGTATATGTATAATTAATCTATTTTTGTATCCTAAAATATTTTGATTAAAAGAAAATATGGAAAAGTGGGCAACGCTGTGCCGGCCAAGCTTAATCACGTGACTAAAAGTTTATTTGATATGAACTATACATTAATCACTGTCTAGGCCTTTCGAAACAATAAATCCAAAAATAGAACTGTTTCTCGTATCCAACTACAAGCGAAGAAATAAATTTACAATTAAATTAACTACTACACAATTACTAAGCAGTTTTGCTGATCGGGTTTAGCTGAAAATATCCATAATACAAAAATCAGTATACGTTCCAGGCGTTTTCCTAAGGATTTCCAATCAGATAAAGCTGACCCCTAAATTTCATTGATATTCAAGGTTTGACCCGAGCCCTTGTTATAGGCGTTAATTCTGAATCCGGAGGGAACCTTTTAGAAATATTAATTCTACCTTATGTTGTTCTAGATTAGAGGATTAACCATTGCTCTTTACTTTCTTCTTGATAACTCACTGTTTTCAGATATCGGTTAATAATAACTTTTTAGGTTAATAGAAACGTTTAAAATATATAATAAATAATAATAATAGTACAATTAGTACATGATCAACGAGTTGTCATTAGTGCTGTACATCAGATCCGGATCCTTTTTCAATCCGGATCAGATCCGGATCTGATCCGGATTTTTTAAAGTGTACAATCCGGAACCGGATCGATCCGGGTATAAATATTCGGATTTAAGATCCGGATTTAAGACCCCGATTTAAGATCCGGGTTTAAGTCCGGATTTAGGATCTGGATCCAAGATCGTCGTATTCGTATTCACTGTTGCCACTGTTGCCAGTCATCGTTTCATGCATAACATGCGCATGCCGCATCCGCATACTTGGTTGTATCTTTTTGTTTTGTTTGAAAATTAAGTATCTTGTGCTGCAAATTAAACTACTTTTTTATGCCCACACTGATAAAAAAGATAGACTTGAACTAAAGTCGTCATCGTTCTTGAAAAAAAAAAATAGTGGCAAGAGAATTTATTTTAGCGTAAAAGAAAATATTTTGCCTGAAGAAAGACTCTCTTAACTCAAGAAAACTGGTACTCTTGAAAAATTCGAAAATTGCTCTTGAATCTATTTTCATTCAACCAAGTGCAAGTTACTTTGTTTTAAGATAAAAAGAAAAATACGCTAGGAAGTATTTTATTCAAGAAACATGGCCATTTTTCCAATAGCTAAATACTCTTTTGATGAAAAATAATAACGACACGCAAAGACGATGACGAAGAACGGTATACAATCAGTCGGCAGTCCGATCAGTCGTACGTCGCATTTCATAGGTCGCACATTATAGTACGTACGCGTTTTGTTGCTTGGAATTTTCTACTTGGAATTTAGCATAATTTGCTTTTTAAACGCATATCGTATAACAAATTAGCGATCGTTATTAACATGCATTTGTCATTTTTTATGGACAAATTTTAGGATATATGGATTCTTTAAAGGAGTTTCTCAAAAAATGGAAATTAGAGCATTTATTTGCTATATTTGAAGGTAAGAGACATTTACATAATGCACCTGTTTACGTAATGCATGCGTGACTATAGATAGAATAAGAATATAGGTATCAATTTTGTTATGCAAATAATTACAAAAATTTTAGAATTTCAAGTCGTCGTATTAAAAAATTCAAAATGTTACCAAAACTTATAATTTTAATAATTTATTTGCTTTACTTTGATTAATCCTGATGTAACATTTTTTTTGTAACGTCGTTCTTGGCCCTATCCTTAGCCCTATTACCTGTAAAAGCGCCAATCTTTTGGGTCAAAGTCATATTCATTTCGACTGAGAGATCCTTTTTTTCAGTGCATAATTTATAAATTACCCTCGAAATTACCATAACCGGGGTATGGGATCCGAATTTGAGATTCGGATTTCAGATGCGATTTTAAGATCCGAATCTCAGATCCGAATCTCAGATCCGAATCTCGGATCTAGATCCGAATCGCATATTCAAATCCGGATACGGATAAATCCGGATCCGGATTTTTTTAAAGGATCCCCGATCCGTTTAAAAACTCGGATCCGTACAGCACTAGTTGTCATCAAACAGGATATGAGTTATGTTATACTTAGACCTGCGTTTCGCTAACCATGTTACAATTTTTATTACCATCAGCAGATGATTAAAACTCGAAAGCTTAAGGTGGAACCTGTTTCAGCAATGACCACTCAACCTAGGGTTAGGTTAAATGTTATACAACAAATTTAAACATTTTTGCCAAAATTTTATTTAGTCAGGTTTATAAGCTTTATTGTCAATTTCGATATGATTGATGACGTCCATCGGAAAATGTTTTGCTATTACCGTATTTGACTTCAATTTTTTTGTATGTATAAATTTGACTTTTAAATCTTACTTTTTACGCAACACATAATAATGTTTCCAATAAGAATTGTAAATATTGGGTAATATATACACAAGCATGAAACTCTTTATGGGTATTTTGAAGGAGAGACTTGAAACACAAATAACAAACAAGGAAGAACAACAAGGCTTCAGACGAAACAGATCCACGACCGATGCCATATTCATTATCAAACAACTAAAAGAAAAGTCAATTGAATTTAATACACCAGCATACGTCTGCTTCATCGACCTCACCAAGGCATTTGATAGGGTGCGCCTTTACGACATCGTCAATATACTAATGGCGAGAGAGCGCCAGACACCATTGTAAGAGCGATCCACAACCTAAACATGAACAACAGGACTAGAGTAAAGGCAGGAGACACTTATACGGAAGAGATACCGACACCAGGAGGCATCAGACAAGGTGACAGCCTTAGCCCATTTTTGTTCAATCTCTTAATGGACAGAATTATAGAGGAAGTATCATCACTAAATATAGGATACCGAATGGGACAGAAAAGAATCAGCATGGTATGCTACGCCGATGACGCAGCCATTTTCGCGGAAACGGAGGACGACCTGCAGAAACAGCTTTACAGATTCTACCAGGTCAGTCAAGCGATGAATATGACCATATCTACAGAAAAAACGAAAAGCATAACCTTTGCTAAAGACCCCGTGAGATGTAAGTTGGTAGTTCAGGACAAAATCATCGAGCAAGTCTCACAATTCAAATACCTGGGTATGGATCTGTCGAGCCACCATGATCCAGCGAAGGACTTAAGAAGCCAGATCAACAAAGCGACTGCCATGTCGGGCTGCTTAAGGCAAACAATATGGGCGAACTAATACATGAGATGGGATAGCAAGGTAAAGATATACAAGACTTGTATCAGACCAATCATGACATACGGAATAGAAACCAGAGAGGAAACCAACAAAACGAAGAGCATGCTTCGAGTAGCCGAGATGAAAACGCTCAGGACAATAATGGGAAAAACAAGAAGAGACCGAATTAAGAACACCGACATCAGGGAACAATGTGAGGTGCAAGACATAGTAAGGTGGGGCAGACAAAGAAAAAGAGGTTGGTACGCCCACGTGAGAAGAATGGATGAGAGAGGACTGCCACGAATTGCATTAGAAGGGAAACCAACAGGGAAAAGAGAACCTGGAAGACCACCTAAGAGATGGAAGGACAGCTGGCAGTCCACCTCCCAAGAACTGTTACAGAGGACCCATCAAAATTAACAGATCGCGAGATCTTAAAAATGAATAAGAAGAAGAAGAAGAAGAAGGGTAATATATAAGTTTTAGAAGTGTTTAGGTATTTAAAACAATAGTTTAGAATAAAATTGCGTTTCCGTTCCTATGCTTGATATATTCTTTGGTTATTCACGGTTATACCCAACATTTTAATGATTCTACAGGTCTGTTAATCTTATATTTTATAAGTTTTCAATGTAAAAAGCAAATAACCCTATTCTCTTCACAAAACAGCTTATTTAAAATTTGAACCAGCTTGAGAAAATGACTGGAATATTTTCTTTACATCTCTTTCTGAAAATAATAATCCCAGTATAAAACACGAACCTGACTGCTCACCAAAATGCTTCAATAAAATTTAGGAATAACTTTATTAAGTAATAAGAAGGCAGGAATATAGAAGGGTATGGAACAGAAGTCCAAAAGGAAGTAATAATTATATTTCTTTGCTCGGTTTATATTTTAATGCAAATGAGCCATGCTGACTTAATTATACATTAGCTATTGAGACTTTCTCTGTCAAAATGCTGGAATTTCATTCATTTACTAGATTTTTGCAAAAAATAGCCAATAGCAGTACACAAAAAGAAAACACATTAGCAGTACACAAAAAGATAAGCCTCAAATGTATTGAATTGAGAAATACCGATATTAAGCTTTCGTTATTAGTGCTTCCCTTTTAACGTAAATTATATTTACGTTAAAAAAAACACATATTATGTGCGTGGGGTATTCTAATACCCCAATTAATTTGAAATAAGAGATTTAAACAAAAATTGGATGTCATATTAGTAAGTATGCAAGACATATCCATTTATTTGGATTATAACAATAACTGTAAACCTTGAAAAATTTGTAAATTGTAACAATATACAGGGTGAGTCTTAAATAAGTGCAAATATTTTAAGGGTAGTATATTTCGACTCCAGAAACACACGTCTATGAGTTTTTGTGCGAAGAAATATTTTAAATTTGGAATGGGAATGAATGGGAATTTTTTGAAAAAAAAAATTGGATTTTTTTAGCTTTTAGCTATATATTAATTCAAAAAAGTCCAATAGGTAATTCACCACTTGTACTGTAAGAAAATCTACAAAATAAAATAATTATTTTTTGTAAACACCGCTGCGTTAATTCAATGGAGATCAACTTGTATTGCATTTTATAATAAACAAATTGGCCCAATTGGCAAAAAATTGCATAAAGAATAAAAATAAGTAAATTAATAAAAAAATAAATAAAGGTATTGCTGAGGCATATCTAGAAGTTAGTAATGCATGGCTATCGCTTCTTTGATTTTAATGAACATAACATAAATAAACATAAGTAAAAATTAAAAACGGATAAAAAATAATTATATGCAGAAAGTTTAAGGCATTTTGGTTTTTAATTGTTTTGATCTAACAAATATATATAATGATTGATTGCCACGCCCTTTCCAATTCGAAGTTCAATAAAACACAAGTTTACTTAATGCAGTATGAGTTACATAGAGGCCACTAGCTTTTTAATTTTAACAGCCTAGTGGTCGGGGTTCAAAAATATTAATAAAAGGGCGCCACGAGATTATACTCTATAAACTCGGAAATAAAGATGTAACTATTAAGTAGACTTCAACACTAACCTCGAACTGTTGAGTGCAACTTCAAATATTACTGTAATTCGTTAAACTTAAGTGACTCTAACTTAACTATGAGACTAGACTGCAAATAATACTACTAAAAATGTTTAAGTAATTTATTAAAATATTAAAAGTTAATATTTATAAAAAAAAATGAATGAAAGGTAGATTGAAATATGTTAAGAAATTTTAAATCGTTAAGAATTACTAATTACGAATGCAAAATGAAAAATGTTTTAAGCTATACTAAAACTAAGACGTCATCCCCCTTAACTAAAACTAAGTATGCTCTAAGGGCGGAATAGAAATATCAAACTAAATCTAACTAATATCTAAACGATCTTACTCTAACGTAATGTCTTGACAAGTACTTGCAAACTACTGAAACTTCCTCCGGCTTAGCTATAGTGCATAGCTACAGGGTGGCTACGACGGTGTAGAGCAGCTCGATGCAATGTCACTGGAGCCCGTCAGCAAATGTACAGGCAGGTGTAGGACTTCAAATGGCGAACACAAAAAACCCTAAATAACATTGGTTGTCTTAGAAAAGAGCTTCAATTATAGAACAAGGACTAGCACAACGTGTAGGAGTTAATAAAGGTAATAAAGAAGGACTAATCAAATCTGAACTTTACGCAACGAGGGGAACTGAACTCAACGAGGGTTTATGATGTCCAACGGGTAACTCTACACACGGGCAACAGTAACGGATGGAATTCTGGACTGTTCTGTGCTGTACGGTCTGGATCGGTCTTCTTGCTCTATAATTACGAACAACCAAATAAGACTTAAGAAAGATAACACTCAACTAATCTTTCTACACCACGTGGGCGTGGAAAAGTCGAAAACCAGTCAACAATACGAATAAAAATCAGTTGAGCATTGACTTAGAATAGGCAGAAGAATTATGGCATACCTTGGAACTATTCGGGGACTTCTTGGGCATGTGGAATCGGGATATCGGTCGGAAAAATTTGGCTATTTAATCCCTTACGGAAATTGGTCGGCGGTCCATAAAAATCATCAAAATCCAACCACGTCTCTGACCAAAGGTGTTTCGGAAGCCTTAATCCTTTTTTACGAAGACCTGCTATTCGCCAATAGAGAATGCTTTACGAAACGGCAGCCAGTTCTTCACGACGATATTCTCGGTCGGGGAGTACACAAGAAGTGATGCAAGGATTCGATTTCCTTCACAAAATCAGATTTCAACCGGAAATCTCCCTCCAGGATATAGATAGAGAACTATATATCTTGACTAGCCCAACTCACAAAAAGGCATAAATAAAAAATAATGTTTTCTTCTCAGCCATATTCCATATCCGGTCAATGAACGAACTAAACTCAGAAATTCCACAATTAAAAGAACGAATTGCACACTGCGATCCACATCAAAAATAACCAATTTAACTACGAAATTTTATCTGATAATTATAAAATTTCAATAACCAAAACAAAGGATAAATAAATCTGATCTGAACATCTGATTTGATCTGACAGTGACAAGTGAAGGAGTTGATGATCAAAGATATAGAGAGATGGACAAAAAGCCTACTACTGGGCCAGTGACAATGTGGAGCTGAAGCCAGTATAATATCGCGGTGTATATTCGGTTGCATAATGGTAAAATACTAAATAAAATAATATTTAACAATAAAATTATAGTAAACATGATGCAAAAATAATAGTTATTTGCGATAATTTATGAGCTTGCACACAGAGGTCGTTGCGAGAAAATTTGACTGTTACAACGTGTATAAAATATATGTGTATGCATTTAATGGAATCTATTTATGCTGTAAATAATTTCAGTTTAAAAGTAATCTAAATAAAATCGTTTACTGTTCCTTCGTGGCAATGTTGGCGGTTTGTGGGAATAAGGGCCTTGTTGAGTGTCGACCGTGCATGGGCAAATATCTTAGCTCGCAAAAAGGGCAAACAAAAACAATAAATAGAATTATGATAATTGTTAGTTCCCAGTAGTTAATATGCAGAAAAAAAAATCGTGGGTGTTTGGGAAGGCTTGAAAGGAAACAATGTTTTTGCGACGTTTCGCGACTTTATTGTCGCTTCTTCAGGCACCAAAACATATATTAATCCACATTATGCCTACAAACATTCATGGCGACTCCAACCGCCAACACTAAGACACATACAGACGAATCGAACAGAAACTTAACAGGTCGATATACTCCAATGCTCGGTTTGTGTCGTACTGACACAAATTTTTATAAAAATTTCTTCACACTAAATGAATTCCGAGGTTTGTATCCCATAAGGACTTAAAGCACTCCATAGTAACTAAAACTGTGACATGAGAATTTTATATATTCGGGAATTTACAATTAACAACAAAAAAATATGCAGATCTGAAGAAATATTTTTTATATTTCCACAATAGAAATTATTTGAACCCATAAACGTTTTATTTTAAGAACGTTATTTCCATAATTTTACCAAAATATACTGCGTTCAACCCTTTTATAAATAATAAACTGTTAAGAAACACAAATCTGAATATTCATCAAAAGATTCCGAGGTAAATTCGGAATAACTTTATTACACAATGGAAGAAAGGGTAGGAAACCCGAAGGGAGCTATAATTGGTTTCCTTTTTTTACGCGGTTTTATATTTTTATGGAAATGAGCCCCACTGACCTAATTGTCATTCACCCACCACGGTTTTCTCGGCTGTAATGCCGGAATTACATTCATTTCTCCGGTTTTTTTTTCACTGGATTTGCTGTGAGAAACAAAAGCATAGAAAGTATTTTTTAATTCTCTGGATCATTATAAATATCTGAAATTAATTTGATTAAAATTTTAAAGTCTTTATTCATTTGATTGTATAATTTTATTTATTTCTTACTGAATTAACAAACAAAATTATTTTGTTTTTAAAAGCAACTGAACGAATTCTTTATATTCCTTTTGGTGAATGGATTCATCTTTGGGTGAAAGTAAACGATTGTTTTGCTTCTTCAGCTTTTTTTAATATTTCCTCCATTTTAATGGAAACGTACCCGAACATGCGCGCAATTCGTGCAAAAGGCGCTTTTTTGACAAAAAAATGAGCTCCATTTAGAACAACCGACAATTTATAAATAGGTAATTTAATACAATAGTAACCTCGCAACAAAAAAAGTTTCTACCACCAGCGGTAATACAAATAGGTATACCGGAAGATTAACAAATGCAATATTTGTGTCATTTTAAAGTGGGACAAAAATATACTAAATTCGGTAAGAAATCAAATGATCTATAGTTCATACCAGATAAACTTTTAGTCACGTGATTATGCTTGACCGGCCCAGCGTTTCCCACTTTTACATATTTTTTTTAATCAATTCTAGAAAACAAAAAT